TGTATAATCCAACAATCCTACTAGCCTTGTGTTTATCGTCACCCTGTTTATAATAACCAAAATACACAGTTGATCTAAATGCACATAAGCAGATGAATGGATAAAGAAAATATGGAGTACCAAAAAATGAAATCCTATCATTTGCAATCACACGAATAAGTAGAGAACATTAGGCTAAGTGAAATAAAACAGGCACTGAGGGGAAAAGACAACATTCACATCACCTAGAGAACACTTTAAAGGTTGGTTTTATAGAATATTAGTTAGTGGGAGTTGAAGTAAGTAGCAAAAGAGCAATAACAAGTATAATACTACAGCTAGAAATAATAAATTCTGGAGCCCTGTGTGACGGCGCAAGCCTTTAATCCCAGCATTCGAGAGGCAGAGGCAGGGGATCTCCGTGAGTTTGAGATCAGCCTGATCTACATAGAAGTTCCAGGGTTGCATAGTGAGATCCTGTCTTGAGAGAGAGAGAGAGAGAGAGAGAGAGAGAGAGAGAGAGAGAGAGAGAGAGAGAGAGAGAGAACAAATTCTAGTGTTCTATTACACAATTGTCTATAGTTCAGCAATAATCATCTATTTCAAAACACCTAAGAGAAAGGAGCTTGGATGCTCTTTCTACAAAGAAACAATGGTTAAGGGAGAAATGTGTTAACTTCCCTGATTTAATAGCAAACCATCACATTATATCCTATAGAGTTATACAATTGTTATGCATAACTGAATTTTTCAGTTTTTATTTAGCATGTATATGGGTGAATTGCCTGCATGTATGTCTGTGCACTATGTGTGCCCAGTACCCATAGAGGCCAAAAGAAAGCATTGAATCCACTGACACTGGAGTTATGCAAGATTGTAAGTCACTGTGTGGATGCTGAGAACCAAAACCAGGTCCTCTGTAAGAGTATCAAGTACTCAGATCGGGCATTGGTGGCACACAACTTCAATCCCAGCACTCGGGAGGCAGAAGCAGGCAGATCTCTGAGTTTAAGACCAGTCTGGTCTACAGAGTGAGTTCCAGGACATCCAGAGTTACACAAAGAAACCCTGTTTCGGAAAACTAGCCCCTATATAACTAAAACTTTTTAACTTGCTTGGACAGGGTCTCACTATACATCCTGCAGAACAGACTGGCATTGAACTTGCACTGTTTTTTCCTTCCTGTGCCTTCCACATGCTGGCCTTAAAAGCCTGTGCCACCATACCTGTCCTCAATACACTTTTTAAAATTATAGATGCATCCAAAATGGCATGAGAGACAGCATGCAGCAGTTATTTGTCCAGCTTCTTCTGCTTATTTCATTAGAGCAGTAAAAGTTCAAATAATGAAACACCAAATCCAAAATTCTGAAAGCACCAAGTGAGAATAGAGAACAACCAAACACTCAGACACTGCTGGCAGGAACACAAAGTGGCAAGTCACTTCAGAAAACAAGTTTAGCTATTCTTACAAAACTAAACCCATGTTTACCTTATAATCCCATAATTGCACCCCTGGTGCTTACTCAAATGAGATGGAACTTGTATTAATCAAAAGTCTACACATAAACACTTAGAGCAGCTTTACTTGTAATTGTCAAATTTTGAAAGAAATCAAGATTCCCTTTAATGATCAAACAAACAAATGCCACTCAATAATTTCAAAAGGGAGTCTTGAAAACATCAAAGAGCCTTGGACAAAGTACATGTAAGCAAACAAAGACATAATTTTTTAAAGGATCTATTTGTAGCTGAAATCAGTATCATGATAAATAATGAAATGCAAGAATTTCCAATAAAGGCAGGAAAGGGGATAAACCTGCTTCATCACCAGTAAGGCTGTTCTAAGACACTACATTCTACAATAGACAAAAGAACTGAAAGAGACATAAAATCGAAACAGGCAAAATTCTTATTTGTTGATGACATGGTCATATAATTTCAAAGCATAATGGGATCTGTAGAAAACATATTAGAAGCAATAACTGATTTTAGTGATATGTTAATAATCATTCCATCACAAGTACAGATGAGAATGGGGGAGAATTCCTACACAGCAACAACTGAAAATAAGTAATATTCAGAAGATCTAGGAAACTTAAAAATGGTTCTGAGAGCAATACCACTCTTGGGCATATACCCAAAAGATGCACACTCACACCACAAAGACATTTGCTCAACTATGTTCACAGCAGCATTATTCATAATAGCCAAAACCTGGAAACAACCTAGATGCCCCTCAACCAAAGAATGGATAAGGAAGATGTGGTTCATTTACACAATGGAGTACTACTCAGTGTTTAAAAGAAAAATGACATCTTGAAATTTGCAGGCAAATAGACAGAACTAGAAAAAAAATCATCCTGAGTTAGGTAACCCAGACACAGAAAGAAAAACCATCACAACCCCCAAAGAATCTAGGTAACAAGAGCTACTGAGTAAACTGGGAGTGGAGGTGGGAGGGAGGGAGGAGGAGGGTGGAAAAAGAGAGAGGAGGAGAGAAGGGAAAGTGGGAGGAGAACATGAGGGAATGGGATTGTCCAGATGGGGGAAGGACAGAGAGGGAGAGAAAGGAAAGAGATATCTTGATAGAGGGAGCTATTATGGGGCTACTGAGAAATCTGGCACTAGGGAAATTCCCAGAAATACACAAGGATGATCCCAGATGAAACTCTAAGCAATAGTGGAGAGGGTGCCTCTCCCTGTCCTTTCCCTGCAATCAGATTGAGGGCTACCATAATTCTTAGCATAGAACCTTCATCCAGTAACTGATGGAAGCAGATACTGAGATCCACAGCTGAACACCGGGCCAAAATCCTGGAGTCCAGTTGTAAAGAAGGAGGAGTAATAATAAGAACAAAGGGTTCAAGACCAGGACGGGGAAACTCACAGAGACACCTGACCTAAGCTAGTGGGAGTTCACTGACTTCAGACTGACAGCTGTGGGACCTGTATAGGATCCAAGTAGGCCCCCTACATGCAGGTGACAGTGGATGGCTTGGGCACTTTGTGGGGCCACTGGCAGTGGGACAAGGATCTATCCCTAGTGCATGAACTGTTTTTTTTTTGTTGTTGTTTTGAGCCCATTTCCTATGGAAAGATACCTTGCTCAGCCTCTACACGGGGGGGGGGGGGGGCTTCAGTCCTGCCTCAGTGTAGTGATGGGACAGACTTTATTGACTTCCATGGGAGCCTTACCCTCTCTGAGGAGTTGATCGGGGCTGGGGTAAGGGAAAGGTGAGGGTAATGGGAGGAGGGAGAGAGGGGATACTGGGATTGTATGTAAAATAACAAAAAATAAAAAATAAAGAAAAAGAAAATGATGTTGAGAACCAGAAAGCACTTGAGTAATTAGAAAACCAGCCCTTCCTTGGTCTAGGAAGACTCAATCCCACTGGTAACCAGATGACACTCTTCTCCAAACTGACAGACAAATTCAACATAATCTATATCATAGTTTCAACAGGTATTTGAGAATGATAAGGTTCACATGGAAGAATATGTGGAAATACAAAACATTTTCCTGGAAAAGGAATCAAAAGACTATTACCCTACAAAATATGAAAATGTATTGTAAAGTTACATTGATTAAAACAGGATGGCACTTGTACAGACAGAGACACTCAGATCGATGGAGTAGAAAACAAAGGACAGAAATAAACAGCACATATGAAAACTCAATGAAAAGAACAATGTTTCAATTCTACAGATCCAAGAAATTACTCAATAGATGATACTAAAACAGTAGACATAGCATTTGAAGAGCAAAGCAACTGTACCCCTGTCCCAACTCTACCCCAAAATAAATGCCACGTAAATCAAATGTAAAACTGAAACCATGTGAGTGCTAACAGACAGGTTGTATAAATCACTTTTAATATTAATATTTGGAACTAGTAACATCTATGTAAGGCACAAAATGAAGCCCAGATTTCACAAAAAAAAATGACCAATAAATATGACCATACACAACTTTAAATGAAATTGGTCATCACATAGATGACAAGGAAATTCAAAGACAATAAATGGTATGGGAGAATTTGAGAGGATATGTATTTGACAAGAATATTCAACATTACTTCTTACAATAATGAGAAAAAATAATACCCACTAAGGAAAACCTGGTTATGTAACTTCCAGTATATGCACATACTGCCGTTCTGTATAGTGTTGTTATTTTAATGAGGTTCTGATCCATAAGATGTTATCCATAAACTGTTACGTATTGTGTAAAAATGTTGCAGAATTTCCATTGGTTTAAAAAAGTACATGATCATATTTATCCTTATATAGATAGATACATGTACATGATCGCAGAGTCAGAAAATTAATTGGAAGATATGGAAGAAATCATTTACAATGTGTCTGGGGATTGACATTGGGAGAGATTAAGGACTTTTTTTTTAGTTTATATATTCATTCGTTCGTCAAATAGCAGTTTAAGCTGTTCTACGAAGTATCTTTTAGGTCCTAAGGGTACAGGTGAGGCTTCAGTTGCTAATTTTGAAGGGGAGCTAGACAATAAGCAAATCATACAAATGATCAAGAAAATTTCAGGCAGTGAAGGGTCTATAAGGAAAAGAAAATAAACAATATGACAGGGAGCAGTGGGGAAACAATTTGTGTGGGTGATTTCATGTTGTGAGGTTGACCAAAGGCCTCCCTGAGGAGGTGACAAACAAGTTGAGACTTAAATGACATGAAGGAGCCAACCACCAGAAAATCAAAAGAAACAGCAGTCTAACTAGAAAATAAAGGGGAGAGTGGGAGTAACAAATTGACAGTCTAATAGGGTATGATCAGATGCAATTAAGCCTGTATTTTCTTTCACTTTTTTTTAATAAATAAAATACCGGTAGCAATTTTAAATAACAATGCTACATTGATGCCTAAAAAATAAATTCAAAAAAGTAAAACTAAATAAATTCAGAGAATCAGATAGATTGGGTAAATCACTTAGTCAAGTTCATCTCATTAAGCCTCAGTTTCTTCATTTGTAAAACGAGGAAAAGAACACTCACCTCGGAGGGGATGAAGCACAAATTAAATGAAATCTATGTAAAGGGTTGCTTGTGTTTGGCCTCTTTTGGATGCAAGAAACAGACACCAAATGAAGCGAGATCAGGAAGCAGAAATCCAAGGGTAAGAATTCAAGTACAAATAGAGCTCATTGTGCCTGGAGCTTCGGGAAATGTCTAGACGTAGCATGAACCTCTGTTCTACAGATTGGTCGTTAATATGACTCATCCATGTTACATGTCTGCTTCTCTCTGCACAACTGCCCCCATGCTCCTTGTTTAGCCAACCACATTTAGCTGTTCAACGGGCACTTGACCTAGTCCATAGCGCTCCCAACCCAACCAGCATCTTGGTATACTGGACCTCTCAGCTTAGCTCCCCACAACTAACTGGCAACATCCCTCTGCATCTCTTATTTCACATTCCCAAGGAGAGCAGATCGGATTGGCCCACCTCATCTACTAAAGCTCGGCCATTCACTCACAGGTTGTGGCACTGGACTTGGATCAGGTGCTGTACCCTAAAGTGAAAAATGTAATACGTAGCTCCTTGCTGGACCATTTAGCAAGAGATGTAAGAATGGCAGGCAAGAAGTGCCATCTCTGATGTATGTAGTGACTGGCATGTGGTCACTATGCAACAAATAATCATAATTATTAACAGTAACATTATGCCACCTCTTACAGGAAGCCTTCCCAGAACTCTGCCAATCTTTCTAAACTTTCCCCCTCGAGTCAGAGCCCTGGAAACAGGAATCATCCAAGACTTTCAAGGTGGAAAACACTATGCTGGGTCCTGAGAAGAGAATACATACACACACACACACACACACACACACACACCTACACAGCAGTCCCTTGTCCCAGACTGAAAAGAGCTCCCAGGACACTCACTGCAAGGTAAAAAGCAACAAACGCCACAGAGATCCAGACAGGGGGCCCTGGGAGTTCAGAGAAGGGCAGGCTGTTGTTTATCCATATGTACGCCTGTCTCCTAGCTACCTCCCCTTAGATGTCCCAAAGGTACTTAGAAGTAAACATATTTAAAACTGATCTCATCAACTCCCTCCCAAACCCGTTCCTCATCTCAGATTCCCTCTCAGCCAGGCCACTTGCTCAAGCCTGAAACATGAGCTGCCATGGCTCACCATGTCAGCTGTCGCAGTTGCTAAAGTTGTCCCTGAACCTTTGGTGTGTGTTTGCCTTGCCCCAAAGGTCAAGACTAATAATAAAGTTGAACATGGCTACAGGACAGAAAAATTAAACCCAGCCTGGAGACAGACGAGACCCAGCGTCACCAGAGTCGATTTCTGATTTGACCTCTGATGTCAACCAGTACGATCTCTTTTGGAAAAGCGACTTAACAAAAGCCTTCAAAATGTTCATGGTATTTTCCCAGAGGTTCTACCTCAAAATCAATGCCCATATATCTGTGCATACTCCCAAGAAGCAAAAATACTAAACACAAAATTACTCTTTTCAGGGTCTTTTTTTTTTTTTTTTTTTTTTTTTTTTGGTTTTTTCCCCCTGATCAACTACTGGGAAGTTGTCTTGACATTCAACAAAAGTAAACGGGTTAAGCCCAGCTGTCTGATGGAACATTCTACAACTATAACCTAGGGATGAAGGCAGTGGAGATTCTATAGCAACAAGGAAAATTTATTATGCTGTAACTAAGGATACAGGGTTATGTGTATACTATGAGTGCAACAATGTAAAAAGTGTGGGGGCTTAGGATTAGCTAGAAGATATTTAAAATTTCTCTATGAAGTTAAAAAATAAAGATACAAGCACGTCATTTGTGAGTTATCCTGCAGCTGTTGATTTATTTAGCCAGTCTCATCTTTCAGTCAAGGGTCTTAGTCATATGTCAGTTTTCTATCAGTTCTTCACTAAGTGCTGCTCTGACAAAGGCGAGTCACCCAGTATCCATTTTCTCTAGTATGTCAAGGCAGGAAAGGCAGCAGATACAAAAATAAACCCTTTCAAAACCTATGTTGCAGACTACATGGAGTCCACTTGCAGTCTTTTGCAGGCACGGTCACCCCCTGGTGGCCACTCGCCTGGCCACTCTCGCCTGGCTCAATGGCCGCCTGGGTAACCGGTTCACCTCTGAGCAGGGACCCAGCCCCAGTTATTTTTCCTGGCGTTCAAGACTCCTCCCTTTCTGTCCTTCTGCCCACCCCCTGCCCAGCTCTCAGCGTTCTGCATGTCCCAAACTCCCCGCCAGGTTGCGCTCTCACACCTCCCCCTCCCCAAAGCCTCCTCCAGCTGCAATGACGTCTTTGTCACTGGTTCGCATGCGCCCTCGCCATCGACCAATGATGGAGCGTCACTGCCACAGGCCCCAGGGGTCTCCTTATGATTTTTCCCTTGATTGGAAAAAAAAAAATGGAGAAAACCTTGTACTAAAAATGTGGTGCCTCCAAACTCGTAGTTCTAAAAAACACTGACACACAAGAAAAGCTTCAGTCCCCAAGACCGTTTGTTTGTTACATGTACCCCCAGCTCTGCAGCACCGATCGATCGCCCGCCCCTGGCTGAGCTGGCGCCCCCTTCCTTCAGACATCCAGATGAGGCCCCGCCTTCTTTGCAGCTAGCGGGCTGAGCTGGCAAGTGATCGCACTCCACACCAGGGAGGGCCTAAAGCCAGGCTGATGCAATCTGCAAACTAGTGGGGGAACATGTGGTGAAAGGGGTGCTGGGAAGGAAAAGGGCTCCTGCAGTAGCACTCCCACCAGTAGCCCCATTTGTATAGACGCAAACTAAGGAAGCCTACCTAAGGTAATGTGTCAGTAAGCATCTCCTAGAGGGTTTGTCAAAACAAGAACTGTTGGGAGTTGTGAACTGTCAGGGGTTTTGTGTCCACAGATCAAAATGAGACCCGAGAAACTGCGTTTCTAACAGTTCCAAGGTCTGCTTCAGGGACTACACTATAAAAACCTCTGATGCAACGTTTTGGGGTTTGAGGGAAAAAACTAAACAGCAAGTGGGGAAAAATGCATTACCTTGGCAGGAAAATCACAAGTTTGAGGCCAGTGTAGATGCTGGGTCAAAAAAAAAAATCTACGAACAAGTATAAACTTGCTAATTTTCATTAATAAGAAACGGAAACATCACTGGGGAGTAAGAATATGTTAGTTTATGAATGTAAAATATGCTACACACCTACAAATTGATATGCAAAGACACTCAGTGATGTTGAACACAAAGTCCTCATTGGGCGCAGCACTTTTCATTTGTTGCTATGTCATTTTCTCCAGCAACATTCAGGAGTATGGATCATACCTAGCAATAGCCAGTCTATATTTCTAGTGCATAACAGAATCTGATACCCAGGATCTTGTCAATAAGTATTTGTAGTTTCAATTGTTTCATTTTAATTTATTGATTCATTCTTTCCTTCATTTTGAGTTTTTGTTGGTTACTTAGTCAGGGCTGTTATTTAGTCCAGGATGGCCTTCAGCTTGTGGTCTTCCTCCCTCCTGTCTCCTGAGGGCTAAGATAACAGCCATGAATCACCATGACTGGTTTGTTTAGGGTTTTTGTTTGTTTGTTTGTTTGTTTGTTTTTGTTTTTTAAATCAGAAGTAGTCCCAATTTGGTGAAGCAAATAAAAACTGAGGCAAGCTGGGCCTGGTAGTACATGCCTATAATCCTAGCACTTGAGTGACAGACAGGAGAATTGTTGCCCATTTGATACCAACCTCATCTACATAGCAAGTACTAAGCCATTTATGTATACACAAACACTTTGTAACCTAAACAAATACATACAAAAGAGGGTTGTAGAAGCTCAAAAGTGGGGGCTGGGCAGGCTTCAGGGTGGAAGTGAGACCTGGAAGGTAAGGAAGGTTTTGCATAACATAAAGAAAAGGCTATTTCAAGCACACTAAATAAATGACAAAACATGTCACTACCAGACTCTAAGACTTTACAGGCCAAAGAATGTAAATCAGGTGTGGTAGCACATGCCTTTTGACCACCCCCCACCCCTACCCCCCTACCCATCCCCTACCCCCCACAAACAGAGGCAGGTGGATCTCTGTGAGTTCAAGGCCAGCTTGGTCTATAGAATGAGTTCCAGGACAGCCAGAGCTGTTACATAGAGAAACCCTGTCTCAATAGCAAAACAAACAAACAAAAAACCAAAAAGAATATTCAAAAAAAATATTAATGGTAGAATTCCAAAAACATGTGCCCAGAAAAGAACTGAGCAGACCCTAAGCTATCACCACGAGCTTATTCTTAGACCGACACTGCCCTAAATACAGCAGTCTTTACAAAATTAAGAAGATAAATTTTCTCTTTTACTTTGACATTTTTTTTTTATAAATTTGGTTTTTGGTTTGAGGGAGGGTTATTTTTTGCTTTTTTTTGAGGGGGGAGTGGATGTGTGTTTTGGCTCCTTATGTTTAGGCAATCTCTATTAAAAGACCAACTAAGAAAACAGAGACTTCAGTGGGTACACACATGGAATAGTGTCCACAAAATTAGTTTAGAAAAGTCACTAAACAAACACATTATTAAGGCTTTCAAAAACAAGCAGAAAACATGGGATGGGGGAAGAGAGACTATAATTTGCAGCATTAACATTTTAGGACATTCAAATGAATTCTTCTTTGTCTGGTCTTGAACTTACTATGAAGCCTAGGTTGGCCTCAATCTTGGAATCCTTCTACCTCAATCTCCAAAGTGCTGGGATCCCAAGAATATGCTAACAAGCCCATCTAAATGGAAGATTTTCCACAAAGAAAAAATAAAATAAAAATCACAATGCATGTAAAAAAAAAATAGGAAAGAATAGCCTTGTTAAAGAAGCAAAATGAAGAGCTAGAGAAGGCTTAGTGGATAAGATCATTTGCTGCTATTCCTGAGGACCTGAGACCAGTTCCGGCACCTGTGTCAAGTAGGTCAAAGAGTCTGTTACTCTGTCTCCAACCAGTCAAATGCCCTGTTCTGAACCAGGTGGGCACCCACACACTAATGCACATATGCATACAGAAAAGCACACAGATGCATAAACAAAATTCAATCTTTAAAAAAGGAGCCAACCGCTTCGTGAACATAACTCCAGTAGCACAGACACTGAGAGAAACAATTAATAAATGGGACCTCTTCAAACCCAGAAGCTTCTGTAAGGAAAAGAACACAGTGGACAAGACCAAACGGCAGCCCACAGACTGGGAAAAGATTTTCACTAATTCTACATCTGACAAAGGGCTGATCTCCAAAATATACAAAGAACTCAAGAAACTAATCAACAAAACACCAAATAACCCTATTAAAAAAATGGAGTACAGACCAGAAGAGAGAATTCTCAGTAGAGGAAATCAAAAAGGCTGAAAGACACTTAAAAAAGTGCTCCACATCCTTAGCTATCAGGGAAATGCAAATCAAAACAACTTTGAGAT